TTGACTCACAGCAGTCCTCCTTCAGCCTTCTGAGTGCTGGGATTACAGGCATGAGACATAACCATTTATTTTACATTTATTGTTTTTTGTGTGTGTAGGTCTGAGGACAACTTAAAATTTTTTGTGTGTCTTTTTTGAGACAGGGTCTCCTTGTAGCCCCAGCTGTCCTGGAACTATGTAGACCAGGCTGGCCTCAAACTCACAAAGATCAGCCTGCCTCTGCCTCCCAAGTGCTGGGATTAAAGGTGTGCACCACCAGCCGGGCCTAAAATTTTTATTTATGTGTATGTGTGTTTTGCCTGCACGTAGTGTACCCATGTGTGCTATGCCTGCAGAGGCCAGAAGAGGGTGTCAGATCCCCTGCAACTGGAGTTACTGGATGATTGTTAGACATCATGTGGATGTTGGAAACCAAACCCCTGGGTCCTCTGCAACAGCAGCCAGTGCTCTTAACTGCTGAGTCATCGCTCCAGCCCCCAGAGGGCAACTTGATTTTGTTTTGTTATATATTTTATTATTTTTATGTGTTTGGGTGTATTGCCTGCATGTATGTGAGTGCACCCATGTCATGCAACACCGCAGAAGTCAGAAGAGGGCTTCGGATTCCCCTAGAACTGGAGTTAAGGTCAGTTAGTAGCCGCCATGTGGGTGCTGGGAATCGAACCCGTTTCCTCTGCAAGGGTAGTCATTGCTCTTAACCACTGAGTCATCTCTCCAGACCCGTTTTTGTTTTTTTGAGACAGGGTCTCTCTCTAACCTTAGCTGGCCTGGAACTCACTATGTAGATCAGGCTGGCTTTGATATCACAGAGACCCACCTGTCTCTGACTCTGGGATTAAAGGCATGTGCCAACATGTCTGGCCAGAGGACAACTTCTGAGAGATGGTTCTTTCCTTCCACCACGTGGGTTGTGAGAATCAAATTCAAGTCATCAGGGATGGTGGCAATTGCCCTCACCTGCTGAGCCATCTCACTGCCCTCCATTTTAACTATTTAACACCTGTAAACCCAGCCCTTGGGAGATGGTGGCAGGAGGATCAGTTCAAGGTTGATGGTGGTAGTGAGCTCCAGTCATCTTGGGATATATGAGCCCCTGTGTTGGTTTATTTTTGTCAACATGATATAAACTGGATGTACCTGGGAAGAGAGAACTTCAATTGTATAATTTTCTCCCTTGGACTGGCTGGTGTGACATTTTCTTGATTACTAATTGATGTAGGAAGTCACAGCTCACTGTGGGTTGTGCCATTCCTGGGCAGGTGTGCCTAGGTTGTATAAGAAAGGAAGCTGTGGGGATGGAGAGATGGCTCAGTAGTTAAGAGCACTGACTGCTCTTGCAGAGGACCTGGGTTGGATTCCCAGCACCCACATGGTGGCTACGAACTGTCCTTAACTCCAGTTCCAGGGGTATCTGAAACCCTCTTCTGACCTCCGCAGCATTGCATGACATGGGTACACTCATACACATAAAATAAAAATAATAAATTATTTTTTTAAAAAAGAAAAAAAAAAAAGGAAGCTGGGTTGGAGAGATAGCTCAGTGGTTAAAAGCACTGACTGCTCTTGCAGAGGACCCAGGTTCAATTCCTGGCACCCACATGGCAGCTAACAGCCATTTATAACTCCAGTTTCAGAAGATCCAATGCCCTCTTCTGACCTCCACGGGCATTGCATGACATGAATGCACCTACCTACATGCAAGCAATACACTTATACACATAAAATAAAAATAATGATAATAAAAAAGGAAGCTGAGCAAAGCAAAGGTGGGGGGACACAGGCTGTCAGTTAAGGCACTTGCCACCAAATCTGACAACCTGATTTTGATCTCTGAGACCCACATGGTGGAGAGAACTGTCTCCCACAAGTTATCCTCTGACCTCCACACCTGTGCCATGATATGCACACACCTACACGAACACACACTAAGTAAGTATAATTTTTTAATTATTTTTTATTTTGTGTATGTTTTGCTGGCACGTAAGTGCACCATGTGCATTCAATGCCTGGGGAGGCCAGAAGAGGGTGTCAGATCCTCTGGAATTGGAGTTTGAGAAGTTGTTAGCTGCCATGTGGGTGCTGGGAACTGAACCTGGATCCTCTGCAAGAGCAATTAGTGCTCTTAACTGCTGAGCCATCTCTTCAGCCCGTTAGTGTAATTTTTTTTTTTTTTTTTTTTTTTTTGGTATTTTTGAGACAGGGTCTCCCTGTAGCCACACCTGGCTTGGAACTCACTATGTAGACGAGGCTGACCAGGCTGACCTCAAACTCACAGAGCTCCACCTGTCTCTACCTCCAAAGTACTGGGATTAAAAGTGTGTGCATACATCTACAGAACTGGACATCTTGCAAATTAAAACTATACACATTGAACAATGGCTTGCTATGCTCCCCCGAGACCCTACTCTATTTACTATATGTACTCTGGCCACACAAGGAACCCTCGTGGCATTAAATCGTAGGTGTCCTTGTGAGATTGGTTGATTTTCTTTAGCATGTAGTCTTCCAAGTCAAAATTTCTTTCCTTTTTAAGGTTGCTATAATCCTCTACTGTGTGGGGAGGACAGGAAGCTTCCTTTACAATAACCTCTCTCACTAGGGAGAAACCTCTATGACCTAATCACTTCTTGAAGACCCCCACTTTTTTTTTTTTTTTTTTTGGTCTTTTTGAGACAGGGTTTCCCTGTAGCCCTAGCTGTCCTGGAACTCACTATGTAGACCAGGCTGGCCTTGAACTCATAGTGATCCACCTGCCTCTGCCTCTCAAGTGCTGGGATTAAAGGCCCCACCTCTTATAATATTGCTTTGGAGAATATATTTAAACATGAACTGTCCAGAGGGACAGAAATATTCAAACTATAGCATGGCATCATTGCCCTCTCCAAAGGGCCTTCTCAGTGAATGCCATCCCATCTTCAGCTGTGTCACAGGACAGATGTTAAGGAGTCCTCATCCCCACTCCACTCACATGTCCTGCATGCAGGCTCTTAATTAATCAGGGAGGTCCCAACTCAGGAGCCAAAGGAGACCCAGTTGATGCCTAGCAATTGTTACGATCTAAATTTGACTTCATATGGGGCCTAAACAAAATTGGTTTGTTGTAAATGATCTGGTCTCTCCTGTCATCTCCCACTGTAACTTGTCCTTTACACATATTTTTTTAAGGGACAATTTTTTCTCAAAGATTTTTTTTCTTAGTTTTGACTTATATATTTTTTAAAATTATCTTTTATTTTGTGTGTATGCGTGTATTGCCTGCATGTAGGTAAGTGCACCTGTGTCATGCAATGCCCTTGGAGGTCAGAAGAGGCTGTCGGACTCCCTGGGACTGGAGTTACGGATGGTTGTTAGCTGCCATGTGGGTGTTGGGATACAAACCAGTCTTCTGCAAGAACAACCAGTGTTCTTAACCACTGAGCATTTCTCCAGCCCCCCCCAATTTATATTTTATGTATTATGAGTGTTTTGCCTGCATGTATGCAAGTGCACGTATGTTATACAATGCCCACAGAGGTCAGAAGAACACATCAAATGCCCTGGAACTGGAATTACAGATGGCTGTGAACCTTCATATGGGTGCTGGGAACTGAATCCAGGTCCTCTGTAAGAACAGCCAGCTGAGCCATCTTTCCAGGCTTTTTTTTTTTTGAGACAGGATCTCATTACATAGTCTGGCTGGACTGGAACTCTCTGATTGATCTCAGACTCACAGAGATCCACCTGCTTCTGCCTCCTGAGTGTTTGAATGTTGGTTTAAATGTGTGTACCACCACACCCAGCCAGGAGTATCTAATTGAAAAGCAACTCCCCTGCCCTGCATTTTCCTCTTTTGTCTCTGTATTTGTGTGTAGGGGGTTTAGTTTGACATCCAGTGATTTTTGTTTTTTGAGATGGAGTCTCACTATGGTACCAAAGCTGGCTCTGAATTCCTCCTGCCTCTGCTTCCTATAGCTGGAACTCCAGGCACACCATGGTGTTTGGCTCCACAAGGGCCTTCTCACAAACTAGTGTCAGCAAGTCTCACAATTCCAGTTCAGGTTAGAGATGGTGCTCTTTTTGTGCAGGTGTTCCTGGCTATATTCACACCCAGGTCCATATCATGATGCTGTGTGGGCCTGAATCACCTTGCATGAGGGTAAGGCAGTGTCTGCCTGCCTTTCTCTCCATACTTCCAACTGGTCATACATCCTTTCCTCTTCATGGAATTGCATTCTATCCAGTTCTGTTGATCGATGGTTTTGTTATGCATGTCCTCTATGCCCATGGTTAAGTGTGGCTACTTGCCTTAGAATAATATGCACTCACTTGGGTTCTTATTAAAAACAAAAATTCGGCTAGGAGTGAATATAGCCTTTAATCCCAGCACTTGGGAGGCAGAGGCAGGCAGGGCTCTATGAGTTCAAGGCCAGCCTGGTCTACACAGTGAGTTCCAGGTCAGCTGGGGCTACAGGGAGACCCTGTCTCAAAAAGACCAAAAAGTAAAAAATAAAAACAAAAATTCTAGCTAGGCATGGTGACAAGTACCTATAATTCCAGCACCTGTACTTTCAAGAAGCAACTCTGGTGACTCTGGACCACCTTTTGAACAGTGTTGCCTTAAATAATTTTAAAATTACTTATGTAATTTATAGAATGTATATGTCAATGGAGCATGGTGGCACACACCTTTAATCTCAGCACCTGGGAGACAGAGGCAGATGGATCATGGCAAGTTCAAGGCCTGTCTGGTTCACTATGGCAAATTCCAGACTAGCCAGAGATACTAGCAAGACCGTCTCCAACAAATCCCACATATATGTACCCGGCATGGTAGTACATGCCTTTAGGCCCCAAGGGAGGCAGAAGCAGGTATATTTCTGTGAGATAGAGACCACCTTGGTCTAGATAGCCAGTTCTAGGCCAGGTGGGAGTTACAGGGAGACCATTCCAAAACAAAACAACTATATGCATGTGTGTGTGATTAATTACAGTTCCTGTTGGGTGAATAACCATTACACATCTAAGGCCTCCAAAGAATATCTTTTATTCTGCTAATTTCCTAGGGGTTCACAGATGCTCCCCTATCATTTGATTATAATCCATATACTAGCAAATGACACCTGCTGTAATAGAGTAGCTTCGCATTGCATCCTTTACTAACATGGTAATAGCTCATACTTTGGAGGCCCCTCTATGGCCTAGGCTCTGTGCTAAGTGCTCCCTTCACATGATCAACTTATTTCTCCCACCATGACATTAAAAGGATTCCACGAGCTGTGGCCTGACGCTGGCTGCACAGGCTCTGAAGGACCTACAGGAACTCAGCCCTGTCACTATGGAATCTTCATGTATGCTTGGCAGATGTTCTCTGAGGACTCAAAGCAAGTTTTTCACCCAAGTGGCTATACTTTCTGCAAACATTTTCTCCCCATCTCACATCTGTGTTTTAACCTTGATGTTTCCCAGAGCACATTTTTAATATTTTTTGTGGCAAAAACCTGTTTATCTTTTCCCTATTACATCTTTTAGGTTTCATGTTATGTTTAGAAAAGACTTTCCCACATCAGAGGTATAAAAATATATTTTTTTGAATAATTTTGTCATTTAATTTTGCTTTTTTTCCTTCTAGACCTAGTTTTTGCAGAAACTGAGGTAGAGATCTAACAGCTAGTTGTCTCAAAGTTCTATTTATTAAATAATCCATCTAACCCCAACACTTTAAATACTCCTTTGTACCATATATTCAATTTCTGCATACCTGGGTCTGTCTGAACTCTGTTTCCCCATCAGTCTGTCTGACCGGATTAGTCACACTGACTGAATTCATGGTGGCAGGACAGTCCTAGTCATTTGGGAAATCTCGTAGGACAAATGGCTTTTGCCCACCTTGGCACCACCAGCCACACATTACCATTGCCTTTCAGAACCATCTAGTATTCTCATGCCTGCACTCTTCCAAACCAACTTCAGAACCTGCTGAATTCTAAAAAGTATCCAATCTTGCTGGAATTTATGGGCTGATCCAGGAAGAACCAGTCTTTACAGGAAAGTGTAGTTACTGGGGCAACTCACAGCATGCCTTGCTGGGTTTCCAGTTGACAGATTTTACAGGTAGGCAGTTTATGGTTTACAGTGAGAATTCCAATTCTTCCTTGTCTCCTTCCTCTGCCTTATCATAGGGGCTGGTGATACCAGGACATTGCTAAATAATAGCATGCCCCTGGCTAGTTTCTGACTCTCCTGAGAATGCCTGTGCTGTCTGATTCCTTAGGGTGCCTTTAATTATCAATGATAAAGACCTTTATCTACATTATGGGTTTTTTTCTAATATTTGCTTACTAAGTTTTAATAAGGGATGGTGCTTAATTTTTAAAATATCTCTTCATCATCTGTAGAGACACATTCTCTATTAATTGAAGCCAAAATGAGGCTGACGGCCACATACTGCCTCCTAATTTAGTTTCCATCTTCCTTGTCTCACATGCCAGGAAGGGAAAACTTCTGTTGACAGACTGAAGATGAAGCTTCTTAGTCTGAATACTGGACTAGCACTGAATGTCTTCCCAAGCTGCCCAGGCACAGAGGTCTCGGAGGCTCTGTTTTCTTTCTAGGGAAAGGAAGTTTGCCAGGATACACCTACCCATGATAGGAGCTCATGGGAAGAGTGGTGTGTGAAATAAAGGAACAAAGCAGGTAGGGTAGAAAACACCCTCTACCCCGGCCACAAATCCATACACCACCAAATGACCAGTTTAGAATGATCTGGAAATCTGAAGTGCTCTGTGACCTTTGGCCCTGATAGTGTCACACAAGTCCTTCCTGCCACCCTGAAGCCCCTAGACAGGGCATGCAAGCCCAGTGGCATTTGGAGTGGAGCCATTACAGAAAAAGCCTGCAGGGTCTTAGGAAAAGGGGATTCCTTCACTCTTCTCCCCCGCTGCTAACAGTGGGTCCCTATCTTGCTCCTCCTAGAATCATTCTGCTCCTGTGCCTCATGACAGGACACGTGGGCTCTACATCACCACAGGATTCCCCTAGAGCTAGCTCCTGCCTGCAGTCATGCGACACTGGGCTATTACCCTCAGCTTCCCTGACCACTTCTGTTTGCCCCAACTCCTCCTACATCCCATTTTGGGAAAAGGATTGGAGCTTGAGCCTGTGCCTGGCTGAGCTCTCACTTACAACCCAAAGGAAAGTCTGGCATCACCCACCCTCATCAAGAGCCTCCTCTCCTTTGTCTCACTGGCGTCTGCCCTACCTGCCCACCACTGGATATATGGGTTGTCCCAATCACAGAAGCAGCAATAAACAAAATGAGGGTAGAGCCCAGTCTGTTACAGTTCTGAGAGGTAATCAGGACAGGATACCTAGTGTGGCTTGCCAACCCAATCTTGGTGTTAAGTCTCCATGGATGAACTTTCTCTTCAGGCCACAAGACGCCTTAATCTAACCCAAACGGAGGCGAAATGTGGCAATCTCCATGGGATCCAAATAGATGTCAGTGCTATTGGAGGGAGAGGCCAAAGGGTACAGCAAAGTCAAGGAGGTTGGCTGTAGGAATCCCACATCCAGGTGGTAAAAGAGGCTCCCGAGGGACACCTGTGGAGAAGAGAGAAGAGGCAGGCTGTGCTGCGCACTGCCCCACTAAATAATATGTACTTCACTTACATCACATGCTGCCTTTTTGCTTTGTTTTGTTTTTTGAGACAGAGTCTCCCACTGTAGCCCAGGTTGGCCTCAAACTCCTGACAATCCTACTTCAGCCTCCTGAGTGCTGGGATTACAGGTGTGAGCCACCACATCAGGCTTTGTCAGGTTCTTTGTGGTATCAAGTGGAGCTGAATGTGGTGGCACATGATTCCAGCACTTGGGAAAGGGAGGCAGGAGGCATGGCAAGGTTGAAGGTAGCCTGGGCTATGTGAGACCTTGTTTCAAAAAAAAAAAAAAAAAAAAATTAAATAAGTAAATAAATAAATATAAAAAATAAAAGGAAATGATCTGATGGAAGTGTTGGCCCTAATGTGCCTTCAGATGGGACTCTGCATCAATCTCAGGCTCAGAGAGCTAATCAGCTCCAAAGCCTATGCATGGACCCCAGGGTAGGACCTGGTACATCAAACTGTGATGTTGGGGTTCACTTCTAATTTCCCAGAGCAAGCAAAAAGCATTCATCAGTGCTGCCTGAAACTGTGAGCAGTGCTTTCAAAGGAGCAGCACAGTCCTGGGTTTATCTCTGATGTCACTCACCCTGCTCAGTACAGGTCTGGAAACAGAAGTTCTTCAGCTCCATGCCTTGTCCAGAACTGTTTCTGCCTGTCTCAGTAACTCCTTTCTGGAGAGCCCTGAGATGACACTTTGTCCTCCTATCCTGCTGCCAAACCCAATCCAGTCCCTTTACCCGTCCCCAGTTCTCACTCCTGCCACTCCTGAAGGCCCGCTTCGTGGCCCTCACCAGGGGTCCTTCCTCCCACTCATGGGCCTTGCTCACCTTGCCTTGGCTTGTGGTGCAGTTAAAGCCCAAGTTCTTGGCTTCAAGACCACAGTCAAAACCTTTGCGGTGTAAGATGAGTGCGGCATCAGCTGAGGGCATGTTGTCCTCCTGGGAGACAGGCAGGAGGGAAGGCAGTGGAGGGTGAATAGCTCTGCCTCAGCGGCATTTGTACCCAGAAGTTCTGGCAGGGCTGGGCAGAAAGGAGGCAGGAGGACCAGAATTTAGTGGTAAGGTTTAGAGCTTACCTCGGCTGAGAGCGTGCGTAGGTTGACCAGGTGGAAGTCACAGGGCAGAGTAGAAGCCAGGGGGTGAAAGGAGCGCAAAGCAGGGCCTGGGAGCTGCCTCGTGGCCACCGGTAGAGCTAGTAGAGGTGTGTTGAGGTACATGGAGGTCAGGTGGCTGAGGAGGGACGGGTAGCTGGTAGAGTGGTCATCTTGAACCTGCAAGATGGGCCAGACACATGGATGAGGGAGCAGAGCCAGGCTGAAAGTGAAGGGGAGGCAGGCCAGCTCCTCTGGGAAGGGCTTTCCTGGTTTGTCCAGAGTCTGGCTGCCTGGCTCCAGGCCCTTCTCCTCCAACCCTTCATGAGCAGCTACTTCCCATGGCACTCAACTCAGAGAGAGCCATGTTACTAGGCCTTCTGTGTGTTTTGTCACTTCCTTAACACTGTCACGAGCAACACACTCTCACCAATGCAGTCACCCCTAACAGGGTGGGTGGGAATGGAAGACAGACAGACAGACATGTTTTACTATGGAAGACAGGCTTTTAATAGTGAAAGTGCCCAAGCCATCACATAATGAGATGCCAGCCAGATGTTCAGGCCCAAGAACCCTGAGCTGACAAGACTACTTCATGGGTGGTTTCCAGAACGCTGTCACACACACTTTCTTGCAATCACTACTTTTTTGTATGCTGCTCTCTGTCCCTGGCACTACTCTCTGTGTACTCTATAGTCTCCCTTTCCTCTGTCCTGACCTTCTTCCATCCTGCCTCTGCAGTGTCCTCACAGCCACCCCAATAGCTTAGTTTAAGTCACCAATACTTCTTATCTGAACATCTAAATCTGTCAACCCTTCTTTGTTTCCCAACAGTCAGCCAGCTCCTTGTGGTCCTGAGAGCTGAGGGAAAGTCCTCCTTACTGGGGTTCTTCTGTGGCCTCCAGACTCTGGCCAGTCACTCAGGGTGTCTGTAGTCTGCACCCCTAACCCCTCCATGCTCTAGCCCAGCATTGGCTCAGTTTTCTGAAATAATGGAAATACTGTCTATACCTCCTACTGTGATAGCTACTAGTCATTTGGGACTATCAAGGACTTAAATTATTATTTGTTTTGAGACAGGGTGTCCCTGTAGCCCCAGCTGATCTGGAACTCACTATGTGGACCAGGCTGGTCTCAATCTCATAGAGATCTGCCTGCCTCTGCCTCCCGAGTGCTAGAATTAAAGGTATGTGCCACCATGCTTGACTCACTAAGGGCTTAAAGTATGGACAGTATGAAAGACTTAATTTATATAGTCTTAATTCATTTAAACAGCTACCTACTGTAAAGCCTGGTATGGTGGCACATACCTATAATTCTAACCCTTGGGAGATGGAGGCAGGAAGATCAAGGTTAGCTTGAGCTACATGAGACCACATGTCTCAAACAAAAACAACCAATTAAGTAAATGGCCATGTGTAGTTGGGCACGGTGGCATGTGCCTATAGTTCTAGCTACTTGGGGGCTGAGGCAGGGGGCTCATTTGAGCTTACAAGTTCAAGGCCACCTGGACAACAGTGAGACCCTGTCTCAAAAAAAAAAAAATAAATAAACAAGGGGCTGGAGAGATTGCTCAGTGATTAAGAGCACTGACTGCTCTTGCAGAGGACCTGGGTTTGATTCCCAGGACCCACATGGCAGCTAACAACTGCCTGTAACTCCAGTTCCAGGGTATCTGATGCCTTCTTCTGACCTCTGAGGATACCGCATGACATGGGTGCACTTATATCACTTATATACATGCAGGCAATAAACTCATACACATAAAATAAAAATAATAAATAACTGCTGGGTGTGGTGGCGCACGCCTTTAATCCCAGCACTCCAGAGGCAGAGGCAGGCAGATCTCTGTGAGTTCAAGGCCAGCCTGGTCTACATAGTGAGTTCCAGGACGGCTTCGTCTACAGGGAGACCCTTTCTCAAAAAAAGACCAAAAAAAAAAAAAAATTAATTAAATAAATAAAATAAAATAATAAACAATAAACTAGGCATAGTGGTGAATGCCTGTATTCCCAGTACTTAGAAGGTGAGAGCAGGAGTTTGAGGTTATCCTCAGCTACATAAGGAGTTTGAGGGCAGAGCCTGGGCTACAAAAGATTCTGTTTCAAATCTATATCTATAAATATATATATATAAATGGCTGGAGATCTAACCCAATGGTAGACCATTTACCTAATGTGTGAACCCATGGTTCAACCCAAATACCGCAAAAGTAAATATATACCTGGCACATGTGGATGGTGGCTGCCATGTGGATGGTGGCTGCCATGTTGGTCAGCACAGCTCTATTCTGAAGTCACAGTCAGCCCCCACTTACACTGCTGTTTCTGCCTTCCACTCTGTGCCCTGGTTCACCAAAGCTGAGCTTGGATGACTCCTGCTCCAGGAAGCTACCCTTCACCTCTGAATGTTACCTTGGCTCCTTGGACCCAGCAAGACAAACCCACTTCTACCTTATACTTTTGAGATCAGAGCTGCTCCCAGACTCCTGCTCATTAGGAGAGCACAGTGGGTGGCAGTCTATATACCCACATCCCTCTTAGTACCCACAGCACAGCAGGGGCTCAGTATCTATAGAATAAGCAACTAAGCTACAGCTGTAGGATGCTGGGTGGTAGGCTCCCAGCCTGCTCACACTAGGCCACCAAGTCCCTTGCTGACCCTTACCTTTGGGGTCCTGATTTTGTTGCTGGAAAAGATCATGTCCCTAAAAATGTCTGCCAGTTTGGAGAAAAAGTCAGGCTGGTGAAGCAAAGCCCTGAGATAAGTAGGGTGGAGTCAGGGTTAGGAAATGCTCGGGCTGAGTGAGGAAAATGAGGGCAGCACGGAGGAAGGCAGGAGATGAACATGACAAGGGCAAGGTGACAGGATGCATGAAATGGGTAAGCAAAATGCCAGATGGCTGCCTGCCACAACACAGGAATTAAGCTATACTGTGAGCCTCCTGCACTCCTCCAGCTATACTTGGGAACCCCCAGGCCCACCCAGAGGGCTGAGCCCATGGTAGCTCACTGGACACCAGACCCAGATTTTACCTCACTGCCCATGGTTCGCCGTTCTAACAGGAGGCGGAAGCGGTTGCAGGTGATCTTGTTGTCCTTGAGCCCTTGGCCTAGACCCCGGTTGTCATCCTGCATTAGCCGTCGGTCCAGGATCACTTCCAGCTGGCCTGGGGAAGGTAACAGTGAGCCCTGGCCTACTACCCCATGTCTAAGTAGACACAGGCCTTGGGAGCAGAATCTCTACTATGGGTCCTCCAGAAAAATCCCAGTGAGACAGACAAGCTGAGTCACTCAGAAGAGGGAATGATGAAATCCTAGAGTTGGGAGAACTGGGTGTGGATGCCTTGCCCTATTTCTATAGATGAGGAAGGAGGAGGCCTTGAAAGGGGGAGTGCTGACTCTGGCAGTTCACCTCTGTGACCCGGGAGTAGGAATCAGGCCTTGGTGCCTGGCAAGAAACCCCTCAGGGACAGGTCAGAGAGAACAGAATAAAGAAGCAGATGGAAAACAGAGTCCCTAGCTGCTGCAGAGTCCCTTATCCGGCTGGGCACACTCAGCTGTGACTGACATATGCTCGCTTGTTTTTGCTTTATTCAGCCAGAAGGCCCAGTGGACCAGACTGGAGTGGGCAGTCTAGCCTGTCAGAAGCAGGCTGTGGAGAGGATTGGCAGATGGCACATGAGGCAGAGGCTCAGCAAGGCCTCTAGGCTGCTTTAGGGAAGAGACAGTAGAGCCTACCTCTGTTTTTCTTTTGAAATATGCCAGGGGGAGGGACTCACTGCAAAGCTAAACGATATGAGGTTAAGGCCTCTTCCCATAGGAACCCACAACAGCCTCTCCCACACAGAAGACTGATCTTCCTTTTCATCTGCACAGTCCTTACTGTGACTTCTGTAGTTCCTCTGACTTTATACTCCTAGAAGGCATAGGACGCCATCCCCAAACCCTAAAATAGGTTCCTTGCATATAAAAAAAAATCATTAAGTCATTTCTTAATATACCATGTTCCAGAGGAGTAGATAACTAAGTGGAGACAATGGGGCTACAGTCAGGAGTCTTGAGGCAGACAGGCCCCAGCTGATCCTGGAAGAGGGTAGGGAGGCCACACTCCTTCTACAGGGGAAGCAGGCAGGCCCAACACTCACTACCATTGTGCAAATAGCCTTGATCCCATACTCAGCTTAGCCCTCAGAAGGGCTGTATCCCACAGACCAAAGACTTCCAGGGCCTGAGAGGCCATCAGATCACACTTCATATATATACACACATACATATTTTACTTATTAGTTTTATGTGTGAGTGTATTCCCTGCATGTAAGTGCAACCCATGTCATACAATGCCCGTGGAGGTCAGAAGAGGGTGTCGGATTCCCTGGGTGCAGGGAATTGAACCCAGGTCCTCTGAAAGAGCAGTCAGTGCTCTTAACTGCTGAGCCATCTCTCCAGCCTTCATTTTGCCAAGGTTGTCAAGGCTGTGTGAGTCACCTGGGGCTTCTCTCTCTCTCTCTCTCTCTCTCTCTCTCTCTCTCTCTCTCTCCCCCTCCCTCCCTCCCTCTTTCTCTCTCTGAGGACGGAAGCTCTCACCTTCCCCATGCCAGACAAATATTCTACTACAAAGCTACATCCTCAGCCTTCTTTTTACTTTTTATCTTGAGACCAAGTATCACTACATTGCCCACACTGGCCTTAAACTTGCCATCCTCCTACCTCAGCCTCCAAGTAGCTAGGATTATGTGTCTGTGCTACCAGGCCTAGAAATCTTTGATTCTTCAGAATGCCACCCTCTCTTTTACTGACCATTAGAACAATATGGACCTTCTTTTACTGTAACACTGAATACACTTTTAACTCCTCAACTGATAGTCACCCTTCTGCACTCTGTTGCTTTTTGAGCCACCCACAAACTTTCAAATGCTGGGATGCCCAAGTGTGACTGGCGCTGTGGATGGCTCACCCCTTTTTCAAGCAGTGGAGTGTGACAGGGTCTGCAAAGAGTGGAGGAGGGCCAACAGAACAGCAGGAGTAGGCTGCTTTGTGTCACATGGCCTCTGCAGAGCTCTGGTCCCTACTCACCATCACTGAGGCTGGAGACACCCAGAGCCTGAGCAGTGTGTAGCGTGAGACGCTTCTGCGTGTCTTGGATGTAGGCCATGACTGGCATGGGGTAGAAGTTGGCTTGCAGGGGCAGTTTCTTTAGATATCGCCGGGGCTGCACCTGCAGGGACAAGTAAGTTCAAGACCAGCATGGATCAGGGTCTACAGGGTACCATGTATCCTCTTAGGGGTCTAAATCCCTAGTCACTTTTTTAAAGAATTGTGTATGTGCATGATATGTGCTCATGGACATACATCCCACAGCACTCCTGTGGAGGTGGGAGGACAATTTTGTGGAGTCAGTTCTCTCCGTCCACCTTTACAAGGGTTCCAGGGCTCAAACTCAGATTGCCAGGCTTGTGTAGCAAGTGCCTTTACCCAATAAGCCATCTTGTTGGCTTTATTCTTAGCTCCAGTTCCTGGTGCCCCTGCCCTACTATGTCTGTGTTAAAGGTCAAAAACAGTCCAAACTCTGACCCTGGGGCTCAAGAATTACCTGAAAGCCATTGAGGTCTGTAAAGAAGGTGGCTTGGCTATCGATGTCCGTGTGGATGCGGAGGGCCAGCTCTTTATTCACGTAGTCCCGGATGTCCACCAGGAATGACATGTCCAGAGACAGTCCCTCTACCCCTGGACATGGGGACAGAGGGGAGTGAGGTGAGCACAGCCTAAAAGGCTGGGGAGGATTCCAGGGCACTTTTGGATGCCTTTTCTCTAAGAGAATCAAGCATCCCCAGTGTCAAATGATACATCTGCTATCAACAAAGAAGGGGCAGAGAAGTGGGTACTAGCCCATGGAGTCTACACCTTCCCCACCTGCAGGGCTCACCTGGCAGGTTATAAAGCCGGACTACTTGGTGAAAGTGCTCATAATATGCAACCACCTCTGAGAAAAAAGGACCTTCGGTGACACGCAGCACAGGTGGTTTCTTGGGAACATAGGGCTGGAGAAAGAGCAAGTGGCCACTGAACCCACAGCACAGACTGAAAAGCAAGAGGTACCAACCCAGGATTGGGCCACAGAAAGTCCTTATCCTAGTGGGCTCTGGCCCACTACCCTCCCCACCTAAGGACCCCCAGCAGGCAGTGGCCACTGAAGGAAGGCCAGGCCCCTCCCCATCCATGAGACCGCCGGGTTCTGTGAGGTGTCTCAGGTACCTTGGCCTTTCCATCAGGCAGGAAGAGGTAAGCGCCACTCTTATCTTTGGACATGCGGGTGCCATAGATGAGGAACCTCATGTCCACCTGTTGTTCTTGCTCCTCATCCACCCTTCGGATGCTCTGCCAAAAAACACAGCCCTGACCCCTGGCCCCACACCAGCATGTCAGGCCTCCCCTTGGGAGGGCAAGGATTAACTTCCCCCAAGGAGCCAAACCCAGTGTTACAGTTGGAATCTTAAGTGTCCCCATAAGGTCAATGTGCTAAGGGCTTGTTCCCAGACTGGTGCTACTAGGAGAGGTGGGGCCTGGTGGGACGTTTTAGTTAACTGGAAGCACATCCTTGAAAGGGACAGTAGAACTCCAGCCCTTCTCCTTATTGATTAATGAATGTATTTATTTATTTATTTATTTATTTATTTATTTTTGAGACAGGGTCTCATGTATCCTAGGCCAGTCTTGAACTAGTAGCCAACACTAACCTTGAGCTTCTGATCCTCCTGCCTCCACCTCCTAAGGGCTGAGATTACAGGTATATACCACTGTACCTGGTTTTATGCAGTGCTGGGGATCAAACCCATGGATTGTTGCATGCTAGGGAAACACTCAGCCAACTGAGCTAAATCCCCAGCCCCTTTTATTTATTTATTTATTTATTTTTATTTTTATTTTTTTTGGAGACAGGGTCTCCGCATAGCTACAGCTGGCCTGGAACTTGCTATGTGGACCAGGTTGGCCTCGAGCTCACTGCCTCTACCTCCCAAGTGCTGGGATTAAAGGCATGTACCACCACACCCAGCTCCCTTTTAATTTTTTGGGGGACAAAGTTTCATGAAGTTCAGGTTGTCCTTGAACTTGCTATGTAGCCAAGGATGACCTTGAACTCCTGATACTCTGGTCTCCACCAACACCCCTCCCAAGTGCTGGAAACATAGGCGTACGCCATCACACGGAGCCGCTCTCTCTTGCACCCTGTGCTCCCTTCCATGACAGGCTATCTCACCACAGGTTCAAAAGCAATGGTTCACCTGAATGTGGGCTCAAACTGTCAGCCAAAATAAACCTTTGCTCTTTATAAATTGCTGATCTCGGTTGTCTGTTAAGTAGCAGATGACTACCACACTCAGCTTTACCATGCTGTTACCTCATAGCTGACACTGCTCATCCCCGAGTCCCTGAGAATCACATGACAGAAGGCACATGGGCCCGCTGATGCCCACGCCCTCTTCTCACCCCTCCCCACTACCTTTGGCCCTTTACCTTGAGGAGCCCAGTACGGCCGGAGAACCAGACCTGCATGTAGTGGTTGCTGATGGCAAAGTCGCTGGTGCTAGAGTCCATGATACGGACAGGGAACACTGTGTGCCTGCTAATGGACGGTTTCAGGCCATTTGGGTAGATGCGAACAGAGGAGGGTAGTGTGTAGGGTCCATCCAGGCCTTGCTGTAGCTGCAGCACACCCAGGCCCAGGGCTGGTAGGCGGATGGGTATAGACACCTATGAGCACAAGGGAGGAGAGGAGGAAGAGAGCTGAGCATCAGCCCCAGACAGGCTCACGCTCTCCATCCTGAACTTCAGCATTCTGTTTTCTGAAGCTAAAAGTGGAACCCTGTATTTCTATCTGAAAAAAATCTCACCTGGTTTTGGGGATCCTGGTTCTAAACTGTAGTGCCATTCTACATACCTGTGAGCAAAAGGCATGTAGTTGACAGCTCAGAGCTTTGAAGCCAGCCCCATATGGACTGAGTAACTGAATGACTTTTAGGCAAGCAACAGTCTCTCTGGGACTCAGTTTCTGGTAAAATATGGACAGCATTGCCATATGCCCTCATGATGTTAAAAGAACTTAAATGAAAGTCAAGAGCAGTGGTGCACATTTGTACTCAGGAAACTGAAGCAGGAGAAATGCAAGTTTGAAGCCATCCTGAGCACACAGTGTCATTGAAAAAAAGGATTTAAAGGAACTAAATATTTAACCACTAAGAGCAGTGCCTGGCATGATCTATATGTAAACATGTTTATTTTTTCTTCATATTACAGATAAAATCCATAATAAATCAGAATAATAAATCTTCATTAGAAGTTGGAGACCAGTCTCGGCAACATCAAGACTCAAGACAACAAATAAATAGTAATTAATAACAAATACTTGTTCGGTGAATGGCCAAATGTGCTGCCATCTTTACTATAATCATTACCACAGTAGCCTTTCCTTTCCTTTCAAGGACACTCAAATCCCAAGAGTGACTGTCTTTTGGGCAACCCTTCTCCCTATGTCACCTGCCTTGATCCTGGGGAGTAAGCAGGACCAAGAGTGAAGTGGGAAGCAGGTGTTCATGGGACACGAGGCCTGGGGAGAGGTACTAATAATAAGCAGGGAGGGCTGAGTCCCACCTCACCTGGTAAACATCAGGGACCATGTCAGTGGCAGAGCTCCAGTGTGCACTGATCTGAACAGACAGGGGCTGACCCTCCTCTGAAAGGACATGCACCTGTGGCGAGTTGACCAGCACGGATACCACACTGAGCCGCTCTTGTTCCAGTGGGTTAAATAGCACCACAAACCTGTTGGTGGAAAGTGAACTGACCCAGGAGCCTGCTGTGCCAATGGCAGGGCAAGAACAGCATCCATCAAGAACAAGGGCCCTGTGATGGGTCTCAGCAAGTGGGTTGTCAGGGGTGGGATGCACTGGGAACCAAGGGGTGGGGGTTGGGGTTGCCTCTGCAAACCCAGGTCTGGCTCACCTGGGTGAGGAATCCAGCTGGATCACTGTGCGCTCTGGCAGGGAATCATGACTTAAGCGGCTGTCATCCTACGATGAAGTGGGCAAGAATAAAGAACAATGACAGGACTCAGCCCCCCTCCACCCAGACCTGTCCAGGCTGTGTGCCACCAGTTACCCTAGGCACAGAATGTGTACCCCAAGACAAGGAGGTGAAAAGATAAACAGCACCCACTGACAGGAGCTCTCCAGGTAGCATTCCCCACCCCAAAGTCTCCCTCAAGCAAATGTAGGAGGGTGCCCACCATTTGGAGAAAGGGTGCCTGAGGGTCAAAGTGGTAGGTCTCCTTGTTCCCCAGCACCAGATAGTGAGCAGCATTGATGATGACCTGCTTCAGGCTGACCAGAGAACGTAGCAGCCTGCGGTGGACAGGAGAGGAAGTGAGGAGAAGACAGCCACAAGGAGACTGTCTGTCATGCCAGAAGGACCAGCCTTCAGCAGCCTGCCCATAACCATCCCACACATCCTCTCTTTGGAACAGTGGGGAAGGGGGGAAGGTTCTTACCTGACCCCATAGTCCACTACAACTGCCTCCTTGGCAGTTCCGGTGATGGCATCATGGTGCTGAAAAAGCCCCAGGGTGCGCCGAGCTTCCATCAGAAGGGCAAAATCAGACAGTGGGTACTGACCAGCCAGTCCAGAGCGGCGGGCATGAGCCACAGCCAGGCTGTATAGAACTTCTGCCCCACTGCCCAGAGAGATAAGTCAAAAACCTTGTTCTTCTCCATTGCCAGGAGCCACCCTCACTCTGCAGAAGTCCCCTCTTTCTCCTCACACTCTCTCCTGCAGTCCAGTCCCTCTAACCCAGCAGGGGGAAGCAGGTAGGACTCACCGCAGGTGGGCTTCTAGAACTCGGTCGAAACTCTTATAGAAAGGCCGGGAAGTATAATAGCCTGTCCAGTAATGGTCCTCCCGATCCGCATAGGAGAAGAAATCCCCGCTCAGCACAGGAAACCCCAGAGGCTGGGCACCAGGTTCCACTCCTGTTCTCTTATACAGAGCATCAAAATACTCAGAGAGGGTTCCAAACTGGGCCTGTGGGGACCCAAAAACAAGCTTTCATCAGTTCCAGAGCCTCCTGGGATCTCTGGCCGCTATTCAGCAATGTTGCAGCTGCATGCAGGCAGGGGCAGGGACTGTCTCAGCAAAGAAGAGTAACGTGCTACTCTTCTGGGCCAAGCAAGAGGCTGAGGAGACCGGGAATGAACTCTGACATGAAAGAGAACCATGCCCAAGAGTGGAAAGGGCAGGGCCTAGAGCCCTCAGCAGCAGGGTCATCATAGGAAGGGCTAGGTTACAGTGCTGCGGCCACAGGCTCCATCTGTGCACCTCTCTCACCTGCACATGGAGTTCAGGCTTGCTGTTGAGGAAGTCAAAGAGCCGCTGGTAGTTGAAGAACTGGGCATCCCACTCCTGGGGCTTGTCATATCGGAAGTCATCACCCAGGGGCACCAGGAGGACATTGCTTCGGAACAACCGGGACTTCTTCCGGTACTGGTCCAGGAGTAGGGCTGCCCTGGGAACACAAAAGGTTACAGGCCTGAGCTGGGCATGGTGGCACACAACTTTAATCCCAGCAGAGGCAGGTGGGTCTCTGTGACTTCAAGGCTAGCTTGGTCTATAAGGTGAGTTCCAGGGAGACCCTATCTCAAAGAAAAAAAAAAAAAAAAGGTTACAGGCCCAGCATGGTACCAAGTTGAAAAAGATCACTGAAGGGGCTGGAGACATGGCTCAGTGGAAAAAGCACTTACTGTACAAGCACGAGGACTAGAGTTCAGACCCCCAGGCAGGACACCTCTGAAAATGCCTGACTGTAATCCCAGCTCTCAAAGGGCAGAGACTGGGGATCCCCAGAGCAAGTGGCAGAACTAGATTTGCCCATAACAGTGATGAGCTTTGGGTTCAATTAAGAAACTCTGTCTTGGGTCAGCAGTTAAGAACACTGACTCTTCTTACAGAAGACCTGGATTCGAATCCCAGTACCTACATGGCAGCTATGAACTGGCCTTAACTCCAGTTCCAGGGGAATCCGATGCCCTCTTCTGACCTCCAAGGCGTTGCACGACAAGGGTGCGTTCACATAAATGCAGACAATATACTCATATGCATAAAATTAAAATTAAAAAAAAAAAGAAACTGTCTTGGGGCTGGAGGGATGGTGCAGCAGTTAAAGCAGTGGCTACTTTTGCAGAGGACCTGGGTTTGGTTTTCAGCACCCACATGGTGGCTAAGAACTATTTGTAACTCCAGGGGATCAGATACCTTCTTCTGGCATCTGTGGGCATTACATACTTACATATATGCAGGCTAAATTACTAAGGACTAAAACACTCATAAAGTAAAAAAAAAAAATTAAGAGACTCTCAATGAATAAGGTACAGAATGACTGAAGAAGACTTCTGATGTCAACCTTGGGCTTCCACATACATGCACACACTCCTGCATGTGCTTCCATACATGAATGTATGTCCCCACACACTGGGTTTCACCCTAAACATTCTTTTTATTCATTATTTTTATTTTATGTGTATGAGTGCTATGCCTGCATGTAAGTAAGTGCACCTGGGTCATGCAATGCCCATGGAGGACAGAAGAGGCTGTCAGATCCCCTGGAACTGGAGTTAAAGACAGTCGTTAGCTGTCCTGTAGGTGCTGGGATTTGAACCCAGGTCTTCTGCAAGAACAACCAGTATTCTTAACCGCTGAGCAATCTCTCCAGCCCCTCACCCTAAGCATTCTTTTCTTTTCTTCTTCCTTCCTTCTTTTTTTTTTTTTGTAACAGGGTCTCACTATGTAGCCCTAGCTCCCACTGGCCTGGAACTCACTATGTAGATTATCCCAGGATGACTCGACCTCACAGAGATCTACCTGCCTCTGCCTCCAAAGCTTTGGGATTAAAGTCATGTGCCACCATACCCAGCTAACTCTAAACTTTCATATTTTGTTTTCTGAAGCAAAACAAAATATTTAGAACCCTGTATTTCTACTGAAAAAAATGCTATCTGTTATTGGGGGGTCTGGTTCTGAATTATAGCATCATTCTGTACTCCTGCACTGTTGTAGAGAGCTCAGACTCTGAAGCCTGCTCCATGTGCTCCATGTGTACTTACTAAACAATCTTAGACAATCTCTGGCTGTTGGTTTCTGGTAAAACGAGGGTAACAACAGTATATACCCTCATAATATAAGAATGGTGGTCCATGCCTTTAATCCCAACACTCAGGAGGCAGGGGCAGGCAGAGCTCCATGAGTTCAAGGCCAACTTGATCTACATAGTTAGTTCCAAGTCAGCTAAGGGTACGTAGTAAGAACATATCTTTAAAAAAAAAAAAAAAAAAAAAAAGAAAAAGAAAAGAAAAGAAAAACCAGGTATTGATGGTACACACTTGTAATCCCAGCACTCAGGAGGTTGAGACTTGCAAGTCTGAGGCCAGCTTAGGCTACGTAATGAAGGCCTGTCTCAAAAAAATTTTTTTTAAAGTATTTAAATACTTAAAACACCTGGGCATGGTGGTACACCTTTAATCCCAGAAGCAGGCAGATCTCTGTGAGTTCAAAGCCAGCCTGGTCTATATAGTGAGTTCCAGACCAGCTGGGGTTAAGGGGAAAGCCTGTCTCAAAAAGACCAAAAATAAATAAATTAATTAATTAATTAATTAATTAATTAATTTAAAAATAGTGACTGGAAGCCAGGCATGGTAGCACATGCCTATATTCCCTCCAAATGGAAGCAGGATGATCAGGAGTTCAAGATCATTCTCAGCTACATAGCAAGTTCAAGGACAATTGGGTTACAGGAGACTCACTCCAAAGCACCTTCCCCCACAAAAGAACAGTGTCTAGTACAAACTGTATGTGAAAAAAAAATTTTAATCTAATATATTATGGCTGGGCATGATGGAGCATGCCTTAAATCCCAGAACTTGGGAGGCAGAGGCAGGTGGATCTCTACAGATAGAGGCTAGCTTGATCTATATAATGAGTTCCAGGCCAGCTAGGGCTATAGAGAGACCCTATCTCATAAAAACAAAAATACCTGCTGGGCGTGGTAGCACACGCCTTTAATCCCAGCACTCGGAGGCAGAGGCAGGTGGATCTCTGTGAGTTCAAAGCCAGCCTGGTCTATAC